CTGGTCCAATCGTCTAGCCTGGTCTAGTTTTGAAAACATTGTGTTGATTTGTAAATGAATTACAATTTATTGAAATCTATAAGAAGTGGCAATAGATTTTTAAGGCTTTTAGACTTTTTCTTGATTTAAAATACCCCTCTTTGAATTTGGTCTCTCTCTCTCTCTTAGGGATAGAAATTTTCCCCATCCTCGATGAGACTCGATTTCCCCGACTTAATGGGGGTCGGGGATGGGGACTGAGGTTCCTACCCCACCCCGACCCTAATTATATATATATATATATATATTCAATATTTTCAACCTAGCCAGTCGAACCGTTTGACCTATCACCCGGCCAGGATTCCGGGTCCGGTTCATCCAAGACCCGTCAAACGATCAAAAACCATTCGACCCAGCCAATTCAATCTGATGACCGGGCCACAGCTTACACACTCAATGCATGCAAACTTTCGGAGACCATAACTTTGCACTCCAATTTCCGATTGGGGTGATTTTTTTTTTTTTGGGTAACCTTTTGAGATCTATGCATCCCAAGGTGACCAAGGATGGAGGACAACTTTTTCCCTGGTAGGAATCGGGGACGAGGTCGGAGATTAATTTCAGAATCAGGGTCGAAGATGGGGAATATGATCCCTGCCCCGTTGCCATTCTCTCTCTCTCTCTCTCTCTCTCTCTCTCTATTATGAAGATATAAATTCTAAGTTGAATACTATTTTTTGTTTCATTCCATTCTCTTTCATTAAGTATCATATTTAAGGTTGACTTCCATTCTTTCTCATTGAATCATATGTTTAATGTAATTTTGTTTTTCATCATTAAATTTCACTAATTAAATTCACGAGTAACAATTTGAATAATACAAAAATTGTATATTGAAAATCAATAACAAAACCAATTTTTAAGTATGATAAATAAGAAAATGTTTTATTAATGATAGAAATGGGATACAAAATTTAAAAATGTCTTGGCAATGAAACTACTTTCATGTTTGTTAAATGATAGAATTGGAAGACAAAAATTATAAAAAGAGAAAATTAATGTCTATTCCATCACACTACTAAACAAATCAAATGATTCAATGGTTTGATTAGTTAGGTCACCATGTTGTTGGTCAAGTTAATGTTTTTTTACAAACAAGCAATTTGGTGGATAGTGAACCTAAAATCCAGGTCAAGTAACAATTCAACGTGTATTTTATTCTGTGGACATTTCGTAATACGCATTTATTAAAACGCCGCCATATCATCATCAAATCAGCATTTTTCTCATCATGTTCATCCATACACATTGATATTCACAAATCAGCATTCTGGTCAATAGCCATAGGCTATGAAATGTATAGTCATGAAGAGTTCTTCTATTTGGAATGCCAACCATCAAGGACTGTCCCAAGAGACCAAATTGCCCTTGTCCACATCTGCTCTCTATTTCCACAATCAAATTGCAGTTTCCCTACAAACGCCAGCCTTTGATTCCTTTTTAATTTGTTCAATAAACATAAAGATGGAAAATGACCATTTTTACCACCTTGAAAATGACTATTGATAGAACTTACATATAGAAAGATGGTTTTTACATGAACCCAATATGAGTTGATTTCATCTTGCCACGTGTCAAAAACAAGTAAAAACATGATTAAAAGCCTATCTTCTGTATGAATAACAACAATTTGGAAATTTAGTCTTTGTTCACATTGTAGTTTGGCTTTAATTTGGAGCTTAGATTTTGATAATCTCTGCTTGAATTCCAAGCTAGTATCTATGTTTAATAAAGGAAAAAGGTAAAGATATACTGTATATAAGGAACAAGATTCCTTAGACAACTCATGAGTCAATAAGTTTTGATTCTTGAAAATGAATGGCACCCATTCACCACGTACAATTATAGCATCTGTGTACCAGAGCTATGACCGAAGACTTTGGCATTTGATCATTTAGAGTTGCGATAGCATCTCCTTCAAAGGACAAGACAAGCTGTCCTCCCAGAGCTAAAGCCATCGGATTTGAACTTCTAGCCTTGCAGATTGATAGCATGAGTGAAGCATGCCCGTTCGATCCTTGATGAATAAAGCCATTCATGAGTCATGACTCAACAGTACCGTACCCATCATTTATCAACTTTGTCTTGTCATGAATAAAAGCCCAACAATTGGGTCATAGAATGAGCTTCAACTGATCTGAGGAGATCTCAGACTCTTTTACGATCACAGCCATTGCATTGGAAGCAATGACACCAAATTCATTGTGGGACGAAAACGTTCACAACTTGGCTTCTCCCCACCTTAATACTAATTTCTAAATTAAAATTGCAATACAACATTCAGGAGTCAAGTCAGGACTATGATGAAAAGGACAGAAGCTGTAAAGTATAAGGACTATTCCATATCTTACTTTGCTTTATGCTTCTTTTCATCTTTGTAGACAAAGTTATCTCAGTATTCTTCAAAAATACACTGAATTCCTACCAAAAATAGGAGAGAGAGAGAGAGAATCTATGATGGTTAATGCATATATTCAATCCCTAGATCGGTTGGTAGTTTCTTGGTAACAGATGCATTTCAACCTAGTCAGAGAAGTTTGGCTGCCAGATTGCCTGTGATGAATGAGCTTTAAGACTGGATGGATATACTTAATAAATGAAAAATGCTTATCCACGTATCTAAAAGACAAAAAACTGGAAGCCTTTTGAAGGACAAGCATATTCTCTACCACTATAGCAGTGTAAGGCAAAATTCATAGCAACTAATAGCTCTAGCTATTCTGTTTTATGTATCAAACACAGATTTTCCTGCTTGATAGGTGTTTGATGTAAAATTATTCTGAATTAACATGGCTAAGCTTCAAATGGATTGTATCCAAACTCAAATTGGTTGGAAAGCTCTACTTTCCACTACTAACAAATATATGATTGTCGGGATGATTGAATCGGGACAGGAAATGTCCCAACTGAACCCAAGCTGGATTTAGTTGGGGCAAGGACAATCCCCAGAGGCTGTTTAGGTAAGATGGGTCCTCATTTGATGTAAAAAGGAGCTACTAAGTGGGTCATGGCGGGTTTTCAAGACTGAACCAGACCCTGCTGTCATACTCGAAACAGACATAAAATCAGAAAGCTCGATGGACCACACGTTTACTGGTTTAACTAGACGATTTAACCATCCATGATCCAAAAACCATAAAACAATCAGGACTAAGAAAATTCTCAGAATCACCATCAACAATTTACCAACCGGTCTGATCCGGGCCTGACAAACTGACGAGACCTGAATTTAATCCGGGTTGGAATAGCTATCAAACCTCGTAAAGGAGTTGGTACAGGTTCTTTCAGAAATGACCCACACTGGGACCCATTTTCACCCTTACACATTGGAAGCCCACGACTCTCTTTTGCCCATTGATTTTTCATCAATATGGGAAGATCTTACGAGTTCGGATTTACTCCTCACAGAGCGTGCCTTGCAATCATCTCACAACATGTTTCAACCATGCATTGGTGACGGGATCTGCTCTTCATAAATGGGCGCCTCACAGGCACATCCACTGTGCATTGGGAACATTTCCCGTGAATGATAACTAATAAATTCGGGAGATGTTCTCAATGAATGATAGGATGTGCATATGAGGTGCCAGGGGTGAGGAACAGATTCAGTCTCTTGAGGGACATCTTCACATGAATAAAAATTTACAAGTATAGAGATGTTCCAGATGCACAGCTGAAACATATATGCTACGAGATTGGTGTGAGGCGCGCTCTGTGAGGAACAGATCCGAACTCAGATCTTACTAGCTGCCAAGAAAAACTTAATACTGGTCAATTCAACAAAGAAAAACTTAGTACTGCCAAATTCATGATTAGGCAGCACAATCCTCTGACCCAGGGATTGAACTCTAAAACAAAGTGATGATCATTGTCAATCATGATTGAAGTTTTAATCCTATTTTAATTATATCTCTCGGTAAAGTCTAAATACTATTGCTAATGAAGTGGGTGTGTTAACTTTTAAAAGAAGAGACATGTAAGCAAGGCAACTGATTACACAACAATTAGAGGGAGCAGTTTTTCCACAACCTTGAGCCCTGTAAGTCAAAAGAGATCAAACATGCAGAATCAGCACTGCTTTGTCTCTCTCTTTCTGACTTTAGTGGGGTCGTTGGGGTGCTAATCCTCTCTCTACCCACAACACCAATGTGGTTCCGGTTGAATCTTTTCAAACCCAACTGAATGTAAAATGACTCATTGCTACCTTTGACAATTAATCCAATCCCACCTATTGTATAACACTTGCTCTAAAATCTTTATCTCCTCATACAAACAAATCAACCCAAATATTCATTTAGTGCTAGCTTCTTGTTTCTGCGTGGATTATTGTGCTCACAACACCACCACCATATGTCCACTCAACAGTCTACACATTCCTCTTAGACTATGTTTGATTTGAAGGGAAAGGTAGGGAAAGGAAGGAAAAGATAGAAAACCTATAAAAGATTTGTAAAGGTTTTCCTATCTTTCCCTTTGCCTACTTTTTCCTTCAAAACAAGCACAGCCTTAGTGTTATTGGAGATCTGAAGTCCACTCCTATACGCCTATAATGTATCATTTACTTTTATCCTTACACAGAGCGGAACACAGCCACAAATGGTGGCTAGAAATCTAACTCTTTTGGGAAAAACATTAAAGTTTAATGATCACAGGGGAACGGTCAGACTGAGTAGATGGTGTAATCCCTGTTTTCATCATAGGCTCTCAACTTTTTAGCCAACGAACGACAAGCATGGTAGGGCTAACACCATTTACTCAGCATGACTACTACCACTGAATAAACATCCTAAAAACAATACCCAGGGCATCACTTGTTAGCCAATGAATCAGAGAGCAGAACTGTTTAGGCCCCTTCGGGCTGAAGAAGTAAAAAGAGGAAACAAATGAAGAATTTAAATGACATTCTAAAGGATCAATTTTTTTGTATATTTTGGACTTAAGCTTTAATGTCACCATCAATGGATGATAAAAGGTAAAAATTACAAATTGAAAGAACAAGAGATACAAGAAAACACCCAAGTTCAAAATAAGAGCTCAAGAATACTGTACATTTCCTCCATGGCATCATAGGATATAACAAAAAAAAATGAGGGAAAGAGGAAACCTGTGGGAAGCAAAGAAAACGGACTCCTTTCTAAATCTTATTCCTCTCTTCTTCATGGATGCACCACAGGTTCAATGTCTTTAAGGAGCCCAACTATCTGCTGCATGCTTGGCCTCTTCCATGGATGGTCAGCCGTGCATAGATACCCAATTCTTAGGGCTTCCTCCATTTGGGTCTCTGACCCTGTCCCACGAATTTTTGGATCAATTGCGCTTGAACCCTGGTTCTTTCTGACAAGTCCTCTCACCCAATTCACCAAAGTTATATCTTTCTCCTCTGGATAATCATCTGCAATGGGTTTCTTCCCTGTAATCAGTTCAAATAGAATAACTCCAAACCCATAAACATCCGACTTTGGTGTTGGTGAACCATCTTCTGCTTGGGAAAACTCTGGAGGCACATATCCTGGTGAACCACGAGAGATCTCATCCTCTAAACCATTCCCAAAAATTTTAGCCAATCCAAAATCAGATAGCCTTGGCTCCAAATTTGAATCAAGATAAACACTGCTAGCCTTAACATCTCTGTGAATTATAGGAGGGGAGCAACCATGGTGAAGGAATGATAGTGCTCGGGCTGTTCCAAGTGCAATTTTATGTCTAAACCGCCAAGTTGTTAGTAGCCCTTCAGAGCCAACATTCTGGATCCCATTATTGTTATCTTCTTCCCATGTATCCGTGCTCCAATCTTCAGTAGTTTGAACCCCAAGAGGTAGATCATGAAGCAAATTCTGCAGATTCCCATTCTCCATGTAATCATAGATTGCAATCCTCTGATCACCAGCTAAACAATAGCCAGTCAAGGGAACAAGATTGGGGTGTTTGATCCGACCAAGATATTCAAGCTCTTTTGCAGCTTCGTGGTCAGTCATGGTTGATCCATGTACCAAGACCTTCACAGCCACATGGATTCCTCCAGGTAGAAATCCTCTATAAACAGGCCCAAATCTCCCGTCAGCTAACAAAGTTCCTCGGTCAAAGTGTGATGTTGCAGACAAGAGGTCGGCAAAGGTGAAATTTAGCAATGGCTTCTCAAAAATTACCACAGGAACTGAGTTTGCATGCTTAACATCAGCAACCCAAGTGGTTGAGTCTGTCTGAAAAGAGAAGGGGCCTGAGATGTTGGGTTCTTCTTTGAATGAGAGTTGCTTAGATGCCCACCTTCTGGTTTTCCTTCTGCACCCAAAGGCAAGGCAGAGTAAGCCCACCAGAAGACAGACAATCGAAACAGTTATGGCCAGAGAAAGCTTGAGTCCCTTGTGTGTAGTGGTTTTTCTTCTGAAGAGATCTGGGTTCGCAGCTATTGGGCAGCTGTCCTGTGACCCTATGAAGGCAGTTTGCAAGGTTTCAGGTTTGAAGTTCGAAGCACAAAGTGTAAGATTGTTGTAAGAGAAGTTGAACTTCTTCATATGAGGCAATTTTTCCAGCAAAGGAAATGGAATCTCTCCAGTTAGATTGTTCTGCGAAACGTCTATTACTTGAAGATTATCCGTTCTTAGAAATGGAATTCGGCCAGTGAAATGATTCTCAGAAAGGTCTAGTACAGTTAACTCACCCAATTGCGAGATAGCAGTTGAAATGCTTCCCGTAAGACTAGTCCGGGACAGGTTGAGGTATTCTAGATTTGAGAGATTTTCTATTTGGGGGAATTCCTGTTCCGGAAATCTATTGCCGGCGAGATTGAGGTGTTTGAGATTCTTGGCTTGGTTCAAATCTTGGAAGAATACTCCGCTGAGTTCATTTGCAGACAGGTCAAGGTAAACCAAACGAGACCAATTGAAGCTGGAATTGAAATGTACCTGCGATATGTGACCTTGAAACTGGTTCCTACTCAGGTCGATAACCTCCAGTGGCTCCTGAAACACACCCATTACAGAACCTTGAAACATGTTCCCTGAAATATTAAGATAAGCGATTGATTTCAGGCCCAGGAAGTCCGAAGACCTTCCATGAAATCCATTCTCAGCAAGGTTCAAAGTTCTGAGCTTAGGAAATGCAGCACCGAAACCATCTGGAACAGTTCCATTGAACTGATTGTATGAAAGGTCGATTGAGACCAGAGATTTACAATTAAGGATCCCTGGAGGAATGCTCCCTGAGAACTCATTTCGGTCTATTTTGAGAACTTGCAAGTTCGAAAGAGAGCTGATAGATGCAGGAATGTCTCCGGAGAAGTTGTTGTTGGAAAGGTCGAGATTTTCCAGTACACCGAAGTTGCCAATGTTACTTGGAAGAAACCCAGAAAAATGGTTATTGGAGAGGTTGAGGGTCTTGAGAGTACTCCCTAAACCCCACAAATCCGACGACAAACCGGTAATATTGTTATTGCTCAGATCCAATGTTTGAAGCTTGCCGAGTTTTCCAATGGTAGAATCAGGGATGAAGCCAGAGAGGCCTAAACCAGAAGCCACTAAACCAATAACATTCTCTTCTTGATCGTCACATAAGACCCCTTCCCATGAACAAATTGGAGCAGATGAGTCGAAAACGGATGAAGAGTAGTTTAGACCCATTTTCTTAAAGAAATCAGAGACAAAAAACTCATCTGTATTGGGTTGTTGGGAAACTAAAGGCCTAAAGAAGAGTGTGAAAACCAGAACAGAACTGAAAAAACCAAAACCCATCTGTGGCTAGGGCCGAAACGATAGAAAATATAGAAGAGAATACCAATACCAAATTCTCCAGCTGCCTGCCTCAGAGAGTCAAAAGCATCCTTCTGTGGTAAGCGGTTTGGGGGTCACTGAGAGGTGAGAACACCGTCCTTGCTTTCTGTAACTCCATGAAGAACCAAAACCATCAACACCACAGTGAAGAGTGGTTTTGGACCTTCAAACCAAAATTGCTTTTGGGGTTCAAACTTAACCCAGAATCATCATCTTTTTGCAGCTTCAGTTCGACAGTTCGTGTTCATATTCAGAAAAATCAATCCTGACATTAAAGAAAGCTCTATAAAAACCACTGTTCAGAAACAGAAAAGATTATCTTTTTGAGGACAATATGAACAGGGTAGTAGTTTTCTTGCTTCGGGATTCTTAGGAGAGAGTGTTACCTCATCTTGTCCGACCTTGCAGCTTCATGAAAACCAACAAAGAAAATCCAAACAGACAAGTACTCAACTGGAGCTCTCTTTGTCTATGTTTAGGACACGAGAAGCTGTATTTTACCTGTCTTTCATTTCTAAATGAAATATATCAGAGAGGGGAAGGTAGAGTAAGCATATTGAAAACGAGAGGACAGGTTTAGGGTGGTGGTTTTCATAAATGGAAGGATTGAATGTAATCTTATAGGTTGGTGAATTTATCAGAGCTGTTGGTGGGATTTAATGATTCTTTAGATCAGCTTTTCCTCCAAATGGGATGTCTTTGATTTCCTCCCAAAAAATGAACGATATTAAGGACATTTTGGGGAAATCAGGAGATTCAGGACTAAAGCTCCAGACAAAAGTCAAAAAAAGGAAAAATTCAAAATTACCATCAACCAGACAACCACTAAAAGTGATTTAGTGAATATATGTTTAGTTTATATTTTAACTAGATATTTTATATAGTAAATCCATGGCAAGTAGATGGGTCAGAACTCAGAACTCAGAAGTTAAAATAGAAATGTTCCTTTCACTGCAATGAGGAAGATTTGTCTGGTGACTTCATAGAACCAACCCACAGATATCTTATTCATTTGGGTGGTTGTATTTTGTTGACTTAAATTTCTCTTGATGGTGAGCTTCTGAGTGAGCCAAACTTGTTCACATAGTATCTAATAAGTATAAGAAACTGCTTTGAATTATGGGTCCCAAGACTCCCAACTCATTGTATAAAAGCAACAGGGACCCACTAAATCGTCTATGTAGAGACCATTTGATTGGTGGGTACTCTCTCAATCCAAAGTAGCTTAGGTTATAGTGATTAAAATCAAACACATATAATTGTCTCAAAGCAATTGAATTCTTAAGCTTTAGCTGGTGCAGTTATGTACCTCTAATCAGTATAGCTTGGATTATAATCCATGGAAGAGGTGGCCCACCAACTCAAATGGTCCTGATCTTGGAGTCGGTTGATTAGCCTTGTGAATGGAATCTAAACCCCAATCAAGGGCCCACTATTCCTGATGCTGCTAGGGCCCCAGTCACATGGTTGGGTCCTTGATGAAGTATAATTACTCCATTGGGTTGAATGAAAAACATTGCTGCACGCCAAGACCGACAAGCCAAAGAATTGATGCCTTTCATGATTTGCATTTAGTGAGGAGGTGGAGTAACAAATAATCAACCGACATGTATTCAGCTCTTGCTCAAAGCCTCAAACTATGAAACCTGTTATTCAAACAATATGGATCCAAATGACAAAATGTACCGAAAAAAAAAGAGAGAAAACCAGGTATCTTTTTGTCTTTAAGATGATAGCTATTTTATGGAACAACGATACCCATTATTCCTGATGCTCTGTTGATTAAGCTCGTTACTTGATGGAGATAGGCCTGATGTATTGACACTTAAAATGAGAAAAACTCTCAGCATTCCCAATGTTAAAAACCTGAACTTCTTGACAGTGTAACAAATTCTGAATTAAAAATCATCTTTGTGCTTATAAACAAGATTCCATTTTTGAATTGATTCGAGCTTTGTGCCTGATTATTATATTATATTTATATGAGTAGAGAGAGAAAGAGAGAGAGCAAGTGGGCCATTGGATGATTGGGAATTGACTTGATAAGGAAGATGCTAAAGGTGGGACCCTTTGTGTGATGGGTCCCACTTCCCTGCATGCGCAATGTTAAGAGAGAACCTCTACTGTACTGCATTGGCAAAAGCTCTAACTGAACTGTACAAGCATTGGATCTGAAATATTATCTAACATGGGGCTTGGAAGTTGGAACCCCATTAGTGATTGAAATATTTAAATATACGAATGGCAGGAGTATATTTGGCACCAAATACTTGGAAATAGCACCCACCCATCCCTCAAAAAACTGACTCACAGTGGTAACCTCACCATTATTTATTCTGCTCCATTGGTCTCTTCTGAGCTTCTGTTGTCTCATACTGTTGCATTTTGAATTTGACCGGCCACAGTCTCAAAGATACTCTGAACCAAAACTAGGGATACCAAATTGGGCGAGCTAACCAAAATATACATCATACAACTGGACCGTGCAATCTTAGGTCGGGTCGGGTCCGGTTGTAATCAAAGCTTGGGCCGCCTTGGATAACAGAAGACGTTTGAATGGTGAATACATTTTAAAGGTTAGGGGACTTTGTTTCAATTTTCAAAAGGTAGGATATAGTGGCTAACTCAGTCCAGTAGCCCGGGTTGACAGAACCGGTATAGCCGGGTTTAGTTTTAAATTTTGGGGTTGGGTTGGTGGAACCTTGCCTTTGCAGTTAATTCAGTTACAGAGGGCAGTGATCTTAAATTCTTAATCTAATGTGGTACCGGTGTACCATAACTAAACAATTATTATGCTGATGGGAGTCCAAGTCATCAGATGGAAGGGACCATTGCATCGCTGACTGTCTTCTTACTATTTAAAACAGAGATACCGAATCACTGGCTTTAAATAAACATAAATGTGGGAGTCCACTAACTCTAGTTGGCATCACGTGGTCCATCTCATCAGAGATGCTGCCATGCTAGCGCATTAGGTTCTGGTTCTCGTTCCGGTTCGATTGGTCGGCCAGGAATTCTGGGTCACTGCATCCCCTGCAGCATTACTACCATTATTATTATCGCTGTTGTTGTTATGTGCATTGCTTTTTATGTAAGCCATTGGAGAAAGAAACATCTACAGCTAGTTGCTTTGTATGGATGAAGGGCTGAAAGAGAAGGAATCCAAGACAAAAACAATTGTCCAATGAGAAAGGACCATTGGATTGGAATCTTTTACTGTGGTCCTGCGGGTTCCAGGAAAGGGAGCAAAAGATACAAATCCAATAGTGTTCTAGTGCACGATCCAGGGCTGAGGACCCACCACTGGTTCACTTCATGGGTATTCATGGGTAATCTGATTTCATTGAATTCTGGTCCCCCTGACCTCGGCTTGGACCCATTTACTGGGTACTGAGGCAACTGAGCCTCTCTGTGTTCCTGCGCTCCATGTTTCCTCACGGTCCATTAAGAACTGAGTAAACAAAAACATCTGTGCCTGAACTAGACAAGATTTTATAGAAAGCAATACATGTTTTATCGTTTAGGCTGACAAGGATTAGGCTTAGCCTTGGATGACAGAGATGGAGAGTCTCCAATGGGAGCTAAGCCATTGAACCAAACCCATGGTCTACCAATAGTGTGTGGGGACTTGCTTGGTTTCTGGAAGGAAATTGACGGGTGAAACCGTGAAAGTGGAATTAGATTACCTGTCAACGAATCCCACCTAACCCACAACATCAAATAAATAACCCAGATAAAGGAACTGAGCGAAGCCAACAAGTCCATCAACCATTTGAATATTTGATCCTTCGACTCTCTAAGCATGCCTGTCATGTGAATTGTTGCAATCAAGGATCACTTATTCCGGTCAGTACCGGATAACAGGTAGTGGAAGTAATGGGCGGGCTTACTCCTTGGCCCTTGCATGTGCAATTGTGCACGCCAAGACTGATAATCTTAATGACCATATATCCCTGCCGACCTGCGATCTAATAAAGACTCAGACTTGGCTTAGATATGATTAAGACTAGTCATGATCATAATTACAATCTGTACCTGAGAAGCGTCTCCTTGCAATTGAATGGTGATGTCAGTTGGGATATTAGAATGGATGATTTTCCTGAATGATATGCACGTGTGGAACAGCTCACGACCTTGATTTTTGCCACCGCTTTACTTCCATGGTCTCAGAATCATTTCTGAAACAGACAATCCAGATGGGTGTGAATCATGAAGGCCAGCTGTCAAAATGAGCTATTCCATAGGTCATTGCCCCAATAAGACATTAGCCATTAGCTGATTTACTTATTCAGCATTTCAAATCAATTTTTATATCCATGGAGGCATGGATGCCCCGACCCAGAAACAAGATTCAATTTCATCCATAGCTCCTGGCTGCAAATCTTGAAACAGAAAGTCACTGAGCTACTGGATAAAGAATAATTGGGGTTTCCATTAGTGCTTATTAAGAAAATCAATGCCCAACAAGTCCTTGATATCTCAATTAGAAAATGCTTAGCACGGATTAGACACGGACTTTCATTCCAACTCTTGCTGTGAAGGCTGGGAGAGTCATAGCCCAAAAACTGATTGGACTAAACAATGATCAGATAATTCACCTTCTTTTAATTGTAATTACTGAAATAAGATACTGAGTGCTGTTAAGTATATAAACTATAAACTTTACTACAAAACATCATGTTCATCACTTGAAAAAGAAGTGCATTAACACCCTAGCATCCCATACAACAAAAAAAAAGTGTAAGTCAATCCCATGTCTTCATTTTCTGTTTGTCATCTCCTTGTTTTCCACTATCTCCTTGTATACAGACCATATTACATGATGTTGCCTCTCGCAATCAAAAGATAAATGAAGTAAAACAAAGCAAAAAGGAGACTAAAAATCAACTATAACAAAAACAATAGATTTATTTTTTAATCTTGGATGTCAGGTGGGGAAGGGAGAGTGAAGGCAGGATTTGATCCCAGGTCAGTGGGAACTACATCCATTAACTTTACCAACTGAGCCAATTGGCACCTTTGACAAAAAATCGATTTACAGGCACATCATTTAATCATGGCTTATTCTTGATGCAATGGCTTTTTGAAAACCATCTTACTTACCTTGATAAGCGTGGGGCTTCTAGAACATGCTGAGAGATGTACTGTGTAGTGTCCTTCCACCAAGAAACTTCCATTTCTTTCTCATGGAGTCTGTGCTTAGCACACTCCAAAGCAAACTCAAGCTCTGCTATCCGTTGTTGCTGTCTTTCTTCCAATAGCTCGTGCAACCTTCTCTCAAGCTCTTTAGGAGAAACTCCACAGTGCTCCAAATCACAAGTGTCTTGTCCATTGTCCACTTCTCCAAAACTAGCACTATGCCTTTCAGAGAGAGAAGTGTCATCAATATCCACCTATGATTTCAATATTTTGAGTGTTAGAAAATGTGGTAGGTAATATGTCATAAATTGAAGACAAACGATTCATAACCTTTATATGAAAACTTCTATTAAGAATTGAAATTGCTTAAATCATGATTGGGAAAAGCTAATTGTATGATGATAATAATAATATTGCTATATTCCTATTGTTCCGTACCCAGAGATGGCATAAATACAATGGATTAGGACAATCCATTTGGTGAGTCTCACCTACAGATTCCCTAGGTAAAGCTTACCTAACTGGATGGTAGCAACACTGAAAGCAACAGAACTAATGTAGTATCACATAAAATCAATTAGAAATTCACATGATTTTTACTAAAATGGAGCAGCATTTCCTCAGTTAACGTATTAAAACTAATATTGCACAATGCCAGTGGACTCAAGTCTAATGGATGCCAAGCAATACAGATATTGGTTGGTTTCAGTTCCCTTCATTGTCTAAAGTGGTCATCTCCCGGCTAGAAACATATACAGGCACATAAAAGCATGCATAGATGTATTCTGGTATACCTAGTAGTCATTGGATCATCAAAAAAAAAAAACAGATTACATAAAAACATACGGGATTAAAGAATTGGATCATAAGCAAACTCAGTAACATGACTCCCAAAGGAGAATTCTAAATTAGCAAATACATAAAAACATCACATTTGAGCAATTTGGTAGTATACTAAATATGTACTTCATGAATTTCAAATCCATCCATACAATATACACTCAACCCCCAACCGCATCCCCATCCCCACCTTCTCAAACAGAAAATTAACTGCAATACTTTTTAGGAGAGACGGAACAAAACAAACAACTTGACCAAAGAGAAACTGAATGGACATGTCAAGGAACTGTGGTGCCTAAAAGATTCAAAAAAGCAAACTCGGGTATATAAAATTATTACGTGGTTCATTACTCATGAAATGTAAATTATGAGCCATAAACATGGTTTGCGATTTCCTGAGTTCAGAAAAATCTCCTAAATATTCCCAATCTATCCAGAGGAAATAAGGACACCCTAGAATATAACACTACCAATTTTTTTACCGAATATTAGTTGATATTACGAGTTTTGATATCTTGTTGAAATTTTCAGATTGTTGTAAAGTATTCCTAATTGTGAAAAGGTACTAGGGAAATTTTGTTCATTAATCACAATTAACCAAAATGATTACAAGGCCTAATAAACATCCCAACCCACAAAAAGAGAACTTGTTAATGCTAGCCTCGAACCCATAATTCTTGTAATTCTTTTACCGAAAAAAAAAAATCTTCTTTAATTTTTACATAAATAGTTAATTTAAAAGAAATGCACATTTTATAGTAGTTACCAGTCATGAAATTACATGTATTTAATGTGTACTTAGTTTCACAGTTATGTTTTTAAAATAAGGAAAATATTTCTAAAATAGGTCAATAAGGGAAGCACCTAGGCAGACCCTATCTATTTGTGCCACATGGAGGAATCCTGTGGTCAATTCAAATCATCTATCAGATAGGCCGATAGAGGCCCCTCCAAATTGGACATGTATTCACTCCCATAATGCCTGCCAGCCAAATACTTTGCATTTATTTGATTTATGCCCAAGTGATAACAGCTGGCCAACATAAAGCATGCCCATCAAAAGAGACTTACTTGAGCACATGTTAAGGTTTCCAGACGTTTATTCTATGAATGAAAGGTGACAGGCGCTTTTATTGGGCCCAAGGCAATCTTCCGTGTAGAAGAGATACCATGGTTGTCTAAATTTCTTCATTAAATGACCCCAGTATCAGAACCCCACCCTTCAAATAGTATCAATTATGTTATTTAACTTGGTGTAAAATAATATTAAATTGTACGTTTGTATTTAAACTGAGTACTTAATGAAAAATAAAAAAGAAAATAACTAACAGAAATTAGGAGAATAAAAAAACAATCAGATGATATTTAGAGTACAATAAATGTAACATTTTTGTAACATGATTACCAAAGGTCTAATAATAAGTACATGTGTTTATCTTTTTTGAAGAAAGTATTATGTTAAACAAAAAGAAAATTACAAACCACTCTCCCTGCTACAGCAAGATGCTGTGCACATCAACACCAAGAGGTACAAGACTATACATCAATTTGCTCTTTGGTAATTACAAAAAAGAGTATCAGAAATGAAGAAAGTACTATAAGGTGTACCCCCAAAACATCTATGCACTTCTACCCATGAGTATGTTCTGCCCCATAAGGCCTTTACAATTGAATCCTCCAAGTTCCCTATACCTTTAAAAATTCTGGAATTTCTTTCCAGCCAAACGGTCCACACCAGGGCCAAAGGAAGAAGTCCCCAAATCACTTTTCCCCTTCTGCTTAAACCAGGTAAAAGCCAGCTCCTCAGAAATTCTAGCCCATAACCTTTTTTCTTTTTTTGATGAATGATCTAGCACATAACCTTCTTACAAAACTACAATGCCCTACAACTAACTCTTCTAGATTAGAGAATTTTAAGTCCACTTAGCTTCACCATTGTAGATAAGTCAGCAATCTTGTGGAGCTCATCAGAAGAAAGAAACAGGCAAATCTCTCAAGGGAAAATAAAAAAGAAATCTACTAAATTCCATCATATATGTGATCATGATAAAAATAGTTCCTCATTGATTATATTTTCAGGGGTGGCATGATGTGGAAACATTTTCTTTGGCAAGGCTATCCATCCAAAGCAATGGACTCCAATGGGTAAAACTCAAATCTTATGGCTGCTCTCTAGGAAATCCTGGGCAATTGAGCAATGGTTATACTTCTAGGAGAAGTGATTGCAGCATATCTGGAGTCTGGCCCTGTTGGAGAGTTATGTTACCAGGATATGACAAGGACATGTATGGATATTTGATACAAAATTTACACTAGAAATTGAAGTATCCAATGGGATACAACATCCTTGTATAGGTATTTGGGAATCTTAGAACACTCTGAGATGGTCCTTTGGCACTTAGGTATCACATAAGGCAAGACTATTTAATGCCAGGATGAATATATCGTTCAACAGGATTCCTGGATCAGATCACTGAATTCATTAGCAGATGCTCTAGCCAGGACAGGGTTGAAAGATACTCTTTCTGCAGAGGGATGGACTTACCAGGGTAGTCATATAAGGAAAGTATTTACTTGGGAAACCTTTCCTTGGCTGTTTAATTCTGTCTTTCTCTTCTTTTGGCTATTACTCTCATATTTAATGTGGGAAGGCTTACTACGCTCCCATTTATTTTCTTTAATAAATGCTTTAATCTCATAACAAATGAAAAAATATAGGCAGACAAGTATCAAAAAGATTTCAAGAGTCCAAATGAGTCAAATTGAGTCCACATGAATACACGTCTGACATGAGATGCCAGCTTTCTTTTGGAAGAAAACTGCCTCTTTTATGACTAATATATAAAGACGTCCCTATTATGATTACTAAATCATAAAAAATAGTTAAACCTAACAGTATTTTGAGAAACTAACCTAATTATATGGATGTAATTACTATTCCTCAATTTATCTACTAATAAACAATAATGTGTTCAAGAAAATCAGAAGAAAACATATTATACTTTACCATTTCAAAAACAACTTTGTATTATTAGATATTACTACATTTGAAAATTATAAAGCATATCATAGAACACGAAACACGATTGATAATAAAATATTGTTCATTTTGATAGGCAATGTAGACATGTTGAAGCAGGAATGCTAACTGAGAAGAGAAAGCTCTTGACCCAAAAGATTGCAGGTTGTTGCCAGTGTTTTCAACCCGCTGTTGACCTGTCTGGTCAGACCAGTAACCCAGCCAAAATACTGGTTTTTTTATAAATGGGCACAATACTGGTTTGGGTCGATCTCCAACTGCTATTTTACAAGAATTGTTGACTCAATCCCCAACGACCCAGGTGGTTTAACTGTTGATCTGTCACACCCGTTTAGTGGGTTAGCGGGTTGTTGTATTTTTTTTTTATTTTTTATGTGGATGGTATCATGGGGACCTGTTGACATGGAGGGGGCAATGGTTCAAGCCCTAGATTAGTTTTTAAAACACTGGTTGCAATGGAGTTGTTTCCCTGGAAAGAAAATATTCGAACAAAGGAGAAAGGAAAAGTGATAGAAGAGGAAGATAGGAGAGACAGGGAGAATATATATAATACCAGACACTGCATGGATACTTCTAGATTTACTTTATTGCATTAAAACTTTTAAAATATGTAAAACGGCATGTTTTAACAAAGGCTGTCTATGATGCCAAAAGGTATGATACTGGAAGAACTTTGACCATCAGAAACTCCCCCACCCCTTGAATTTTGATGAAGACCAATTGATTGGTTACCACTTCTATGATACTGGTTGAATGGTTATAAGTTTTTAGGTATCATGCCTTTCTAGTATCATACAGACACTTTAACAAAAAATACCATAAAAAGATCTGCACATTTGGGTATTTAATTAAATTTGGAAAGACATTAAGTCTTGAAATCGGACATTTAGCTTTAATAACTAGATACAAATGCATGATAGAAGCATTACATTGTGTTGAGTTGGGCCTAGTTGTTTTTATTCTTATTTTAAGATATTTAGTTAGGAAGTTGTTGGGATTTAGGCCCATTAGTTTATGTTTTTAAGTTGTGACTATTCAGCTACATTAGTAGCCGCCCTACTAAGGGCATCCTTGTAATATCTCATCCTTTAAGTTACGTATAAATTATGAGGGGTTGGTGGCTAGGGTTTACCTAAGAATCCTGGTTGACTTCCTACTCTTTTCTCCTCCTCTTTTCTTCTCTACTGCTGAAATCTTCATCTCCCTCCTCTTTCCCTTCATAAGAAATTCAACTAAATCTGCAATCAGTGATTTCTACTTGGTATCAAAGCAAGCCGAAGGTTCCTTGAGTTGTTTTCTCATGCAGTCCTAGATTGGCCGACTACATGGTGATAAGAGGCTGATCGAAGATCTCAGGTAAGCCCAGTTTTTGGA